GGGAAAATACTGTCCTTAGGCTGACAGATTTTAGACTACTGCAATGTGAAATGACCACGACAATCCTTCTCCTTCTTCCTCCAGTGGCATCTGGGATGGAAATGCCCACCCAGTTCTTCTAGCTGTGCCAGTAGCAACGTGCTCCCTATCTGCATAGTCACCGAGAGACATGGCCCACGTGTCCCAAACAGATAGGAGAAAACAGCCAAGAGGGCCACAGCAGACTGAGTCAAGCTGCCAGCTCTAATGCACTGAAATGTGGCCATTCCTCTTGTAGGCTGTTAACAAGGAGGCACAGGGGACTTCTCTGCACAGCATCTTCTCAGGTCCCGTCGGGGCAGGGAAGGAGATAAAGTTTCCATGCTGTAAGAGAAATGGGGGCCCAAGGTAGTGCTGAGGGACTCCTTCCTCCAGAAAGCGACCTGCGACGGGGAGGTGACACCATGTAGGGCATTGTGTATGAACATGTGAAAAGAGTGAGGCCTGCAGAAAGAGATGAAAACACTCAAGGACAAAGCAGCCTTGTTCTGAAAACCTTCTCTGGCATTAGCACGAGAGACAAAGGGACATTGCTCGAGCACAGATAGCCAGGTAAGTAGGGACAAGAGCTCTTTGCTAGAAGCAGCTTATCAAGGGGAGCGAGGTGTCTGGAGTCAGGTCTTTGCTGCCTTATGAGGCTTCTTTCCCCATAGCGCGGCCTCTTCTCTGTATTTTGTCTTTGTCCAGGAAGACCTGTGGAGCCACAGGCAGGAGGGCAGATGAAAAATTGCAGATAACAGTGGGAACGGGGAAATTTGCTGTGATATCTGCAAGCTTTGCACCAAGAGGTAAATTCAAGTTTTTGAAGATGGTAAGAAAAAAGAGGTAAGAAGCAGTCGTCCCCCATCCCAATCCTGTCCTTTCCAAGCTACAGTTTCACTTTGAAAAACGTGAGATGGCCAGGAAACCTGCTTTTCTGGAAGATGATGCTAGCAACCAAAGTGGCATTTCAACAGAGGACTTCTAAGAAGTCTCCATCTTCCAGCTCTTTTTATTCCTTCCCTTTCCCATTGCAGAACCAGCCCTCAGAGATCATTATTAAAAAGAACAACAACAACAAACCAGCCTCATCAGTTCTTGTGAATTCTGAAGGTCACCAATGTCACCATCAGTTATACTGCCACACATCATTCCCCTCTTCACACAAATGGATTTAGAACCTGTTTAAAGGCTAGTGTCTCTCGGTGCACTTCACGCCTTCTGCTACCTTCTCTCCACACACACGCGCTCTCCTCCAGCAGCAGCTGCTGGAAGAAATTATGAATTCCATTATTTTTCAACCAGAACAGCTTTGCAGTATATGGGAGAAGCACTGGAGGCTGCAGGCTCGTTAGCACAGGATTTGTATTGCCGCCTTCCATTTTATTCACCTTCCCAAATTAGGTGAAGCACGCCTGCTCCAAACCTGTGATTTCTGTTTAATTAAAATGCGGGTAGCGGAGTCTCCTGAACTCCAGAGCCCACCACACAATCAGATAGTGACAGCGACCTGGTAGAATAATGCTCTTGATATAGTGGCTGCTCTAACAGAGTCTTAATTCCAGTCGAGCAGAACAGCACCTCTGGTAGCAGCTGCATTTAGGGCTGGGATGAATAGCTGTACCCAGCCTCTCACTGAACACACACTGCCTTCCCAATCAAAGCCGGCACCCCTGACAGCTGAACTGTTAAATGAATTAACAAGGCGAGAAGGGGCCTTGCCGACGGGGCTGCGACTCCCTTCCTAATTTCTGCAAGTGGCAGCTTTCAATTTTTCTGTCATTTGTCGGGAGATGCACATGGTTCTCTAACGAGCAGGGCAGAGCTGCAGCCAGCTCTCAAAAGGCGGCGTTACGAGGATCTCCCGGTCTGTGGAGGAGAGGGGTCCAGATGCTTGAGGCGGGTGGGGAAGGACACCAGCTCTGCTCAGGCTGGACAGGCAGCGCATCCTTCCCGGCGCCGCTGGGCATGAGGACTCCCAGCCCGCTCTCCTGACGCGGGGAAGAATTGCTCTCCACACCGGTGAGTTTTGCAAACATCCAGGCAGAACTCAAAATGGAGCCTCTGCCGGGGCTTTGATCTTATGGGCTACTGTAACAAGAAAAAGGTTTTGCTCCACCTGTAGCGCAAAAAAGACCAACCCCAAAACAAACCAAATAACCCAAAACTCATGAAAAACCCAAAATACTTGCATCCATCTCCCTTATTCACCAGGCAAGTCAGGACACAGATGTCTGTTACTCATGCCTGGCCTGTTGCCTACCAGCAGGTTGTTCTCTCCCAAAATTTCTCCCCGTCCATCAGTGAGAGGCAAGTGAGCCCTGAGCCCTCGGAGACTGTCGGCTGGGGTACAGCTCAACAGCCCTCCAGGGCTTGAGAGAAACTCCCCATTTGGGCGCTTTTTACTCATTTGATTGCCAAACTGCCAGAAGGGTGGTTTTAACGGCTTGTCTTTTCAAGTTTGTCAGGGGGCTCCCTTGCCTACTGGAGCTTTTATTGTAAAAGTCCAGATACGATGATAGGACAACCTTAAATCTAACAGGGGAGAGCGCAAGAGGGAAGGAAAGAATTACAGACACTCCTTCTGTGTCGCTTGCCTGGCTGCACCAGTCAAAGAAGCTGAGCAGCACATCAACCATCAGGATTATTTCCAGGTGCCCTATGTTGTATGAAACACACACCAGAACTTAACAGAATTGGGTATTTTGACTGAGCTGGCCTAAAACCAGCACATTTCCCCAAAGGCACGTGCTGTATATTCCTTTTTACAACCTAGAAAGGAATGTTCTCACACCTACCAGAATTATTGCAACCCTTACGGCAGAATGAAGCACCATTTAAGAGTACTGAGACATAAGTTATCTGGGGCCTTCAGACCAGGGACCGGTTCCCTTCAGTCATTTTGTGTTCAGTGCTATGCCTGTGTTGTCAGTGCTGCTTGTTTATTGGAAGGCTTTCTCTATTTTTGACATGGATGCCCCATTGCTGAATCTAAGCAGACCCATTTTTTCCAGTTTGCTGTTTACCTGCCTTTACCACGGGTAAGAACATCAAGCAAACAAGAACAACAAAAACTTGTATTTCCACAGCACACTAACTCAAAGGTGTCACAAATCAATTTAAAACTTAAATTGCAATACCAGCTCCAATCACTTTACTCACAGTATAAATCACAGCCAGTTCTGGAGGTGGAAGAGGCAGTTATATAACAAAGCATAATAACTTCACACAACACGGGGGAAAATCGGCAGGAGGATCCAACGTTCATCATCTCTACCACACGAACCTGGATTGTCCCTAACCAGAGGTAAATCCAGTATCTCTAAAAAGCCATCTGAGTCACGCTACAACTTCAGATATACCAGCCCTGCCTGCAAAAGAAGGTCTCCTCGATGTCTCAGTTTCCTCCCAAGTTTGGCTCTTTCCATTGCCCTGTTCCCTGTCTGAGTTACGATAAGGAAGACCCGGACCATGGGATTAAAAGACATGACATAACAGCATTTCATTGTTTTCCCCAGCTGATTTTCTGTGCCATGTACATGTGTATAAATGCATGTTCTGGCTCCATTTGCAGCAGTGAGATATTTAGCTCTGAAACAAAAATCTATTTTGAAGCCAGATACAGTTGGCTCCACTTGGGGCTTTCTTTGCTGCAGTTGCAGAAGCTGGAGCAGCAGCAAACTAGAAAAAAAAGTAAATATTGCCAGCTGTCTCTCCAGAACTATGCTGCTCTGATTAATTTATGATGTTTTCAGAGAAAGATAGTGAATGTTACACTATGTTTGAAATGAAAAGGTTAAGTAGACTTTGAAAAAAATGTGCAGTAGAGTTTAAAAAAAAAAAGTGCTTTGCTTAGTTTTAAGCAATAGAATATTTAATGAATAATAATAAAATGAATTAGTGCTGGGTTTGATAGCTTCTACATCCTAGCCTTGAGACAGAAGAACAAAAGCGTAATCAGATTCATTCACGGCGGCAGACTGAACAACGGAAGGGTACGTGTCACCTATTCTTGTTCTAAGCTTCAAAAGATGCTGCTGCAGAAATTGATACCGTAACTAACAACTATTTCAGCGCCAGCCTCTCTCCAGCAAGGGGCCACCATAAATACGGCACCGCCGCCGTGGCTGCGAGGAAGACATCAGCTATTCCAGTGCTGCGCTTCTAATCCAGAGTCACTGAGAAGAAGAGACTCTGCTGTGCCTTATCTGGGCTCTGCAAAATCATCTGTTCCACAAAGCATTCAGGGAAGTCTCTAGTTAACTGTCTTGTCCCGATTTCTGCCTTCAGCTTTCCAGTGGAGGGATTTAAAAATGATCAGCGAGTTACATTTCATAAATACAGCCCGGATTCATGCACCAGACGCATAATAACTAAAAGCAGCAATAGTGCCACGGATCCTCTGCTGCTGTAGAGCCTGGATGCAGGTACAGGGTCTGCATGTTCCTGAGAGTAACCGTCATCTGCGCCTCCAAAGCCAGCATTAAACTGGAAACAATGTCCTCTTGACTTCAAGAGCATGAAAATACAGCAAGGTGTGTTGCACAGGCAACGTCTCTACACAGAGAGCTATAAAATAAAAGAACTGGCTTTCCAAGTCTCCCTTGTTTAGTAGTTTTGTTTCTTCTCCCTTGTGGCTTTCCTGTGCTCCACTTTTCACTTTAACTTGACTCAGTTTTTCCCTCAAGCTAATTTGTTATGAACAGTCATCCTCCTGCAACTCCAGAAATATTTTCTCTTCTTTCTCTCAAATGCCGTTTCTCCCTTATTTGTGTAGACCAACTGGCTTTTAAACGGCAAGAAACTGTCAGTGCCAACCTATTCCAGAAAAAGATGTGCCAAAAAACTCATGTCAGTGAGCATGACCAGGGCATTTTTCAAATCATTCCTTTCCTGGGCAAATATTAAATATTATCTGGAGAATATTGAAACATGTCAGTATTTAAAAAAAAAAAAAATCAACTAATTTTCCTTTTACCTACCTGCTTCACCCACGAACACTTCCACTGGTGTGCTGGTAGGGCTCTCACCAATTACATTATAAGCTGTCATTAGTACTTCATATCTCTTGTATTTCTTCAACTCTGAAAAAGTAAAATATTATATGTAATCATTTATACTGTATTACAGGTATTTTGTAGACTCCATCACCTCTTTATCACCTCTCTCATGAAATACAGCATCAAATAGTACAATTAGTGCAGTCTGTACTTCCATCATTCCTTAATTCACACATCACAGCAGGATTTGCATAATTATGAAAGAACTTTGCAGTGAAATGGCATGATTTTCCAGTGTTTCCTCACAGTGTTGCTCCAGTGAGAGGAATCATTCCTGATGGGTACCTAGCTAGAGGAACATCTCTAGGTCATTCTTAATGACAGGAAAAGGCAGGCCTTTGCTTTGAATGTTCAACATATGGGCTCCTTTTGATCTCTACTGGTAGGAGAGAACATGGCTTGACGCCTTTGCCTAATCCTAGGGACTTTCATCCGGGGAGTCATTTAGCAACGGCACTGCTCAAGAATGGCACTGCTGCAGCGGGGTGCAGAAGACGACCTGCAGCGGTGAATCTGGAGTCCCGTTCAAAGTACGGCATGCGCATCCTTCTCCTTCAAAGTGACCACAGCCTGAACATCAATCACAAAGAGAAAGGAGAATTTGAAGTCTGGACTCCATCTGGCTACCAGGCAATACATTTATTTCCTGATGTATAGAAACTACTCTGACAGATGAGATAGGAGAACGAGAGCAGTGTGAAAAAATCTAGAAAAAAACCAATTGTCTGAGGGTAATTAGTAGATGCAAATGAGAGTGGAGTAGAATCATGTCAACGTCATTAGGGGAGGCAGCGCCTGAGCAGTTTCATTTCAGATTTTGCATTTTCAGGATGAAAGAATCAATCCTAACAGAAATATTTATCATCTAAAATATTTAACAGTGAAATTAGAGCAAGAAAGCAATCAATAATATAAATTGCTGTATTTAAATAAGCACTGAATTGATTTAAGACACGCATGGCCAGAGGTCTAAATTTCTCCCTTTGCCAATAATTTTCTCTGCTATCTATGAATCACATAGTATCCTTAAGTCTGTGGCTGACGGTATGCCATCAGTTTGGTAAGGCTCAATAAGCTTAATCACACACGTTTGTCTAATTTCAGTTTCACAGAAATGTTTACAAGTGTTGTGCTCCTACATCTGACTCAGAGTCCAGCACCGTTCCCCGGTTTCAGGCTGTTACGATATCCGATACATCACTAACTTTTTGATGTAATACCACTAAACTCAGACGGACTGCAAAACATGTAGCGAGCAAATCAGCAATAATGACGCTAAGCTCATAAACAAACAAACAAAAAATAGTAAGATAGGTAGGACATAGTACTGGGCAGCTTGTACCGGGAAACTTTGACTGCTGCCATGAAAAGCCACAAGGGAGATTTTAGTGTTAACTGGATGTGGAAGAAAATGGAACACATGAGAGTTCATGCATGCAAGTTTCAGTGGGGATAGGGCTTCACTTTTTTTTTTTTAGCCCATCACAATCTGTGACTCAAAAGCCTTGGGCAAAACCTATCTAGTGAACCATCATCACCACAAAGCAACTTGCCTTTTAACTCTGTCGAATGCTATTTTATTCATTTCCAATTGAAAACACCTCTGGAGATGCACATAAATTCATCGGGCTCTCTGTAAACTGGCCTCCTACTCCACAGAATGCCTCAGCATTGCAATGCTTGAATCATAGGACTAATGATGTGATACAGCTAAACTCAGATGGACTGCAAAATATGTAGCAAGCGAATCAAAATTCATTTAGCATCAGCAATACTGGGTTGTTACAGTCAATAATGTTTTACCTTCCTAGCAGCCACATTTTTACAACAGCTACCTACTTGTGTCTAAAGCAAAGGCTTAAAGAAAAAGAAACTCAAAAAAGCTGAATCATTAATCTGTGTTGATTTCTGCTAGATTCACCGAGGAGAACCATAGGCGTTTGCCTATAGCGTGTATTTTGAACCATTACAAAGAGTCTCATCTAAAGGCAATGTGCACTTACGTGTTAATTCATACGTCGTTAATGCAGAGCTGCTGTTCACTGTCTTGAAGCTGCTTTGGGCTATTCAGGGTAAGCAAAGCAGAAAGCTTGTTACAGTGCAAGGAAATAGTTATTGCAAATGATGTACAGCAGAGACAGAGGCAAATGATGCAGCACACACATACACAGTTTGAGCTTTAAGACTATACCTTGAAGGGCAATAAAATCACATCGCTCTCTCGTAACACATCAAAAGCATCTCACTCACACGGGGCTGTTTCATTTCCTCCTCAAACAGAGGACCTCACAAATATACAACACAGAAATGTTCTGGCTCCTAGATTAAATAGAACAAACGAGTAAAAATGAAACAATTTCTAGGGGGGGAACTCTCAACACTATTACATCCGTATTGCTCAACATGCAAAATTCAAAACCTGAAGAGCTGCAGGGTAAAGACCTGGAACACGGGCCACAAAGAGTGAACACTTACAATAGGACAGGACCCATTTCTTTAAATGTGTGTTAGATTTCCCACAGTTTCACTTATAGAATTCAATATTCCTGCTGTGAGTGAATTGTAGTAATATGCTAAGCTGTGCAAAACCATGGGTCAGTGAGGAACAGAGGTGTACTAAGGTGAGAATTGTCATATTATGAGGAGGAAGAGAAAAATTTCTCTTAAAATACACTTGTCTCCACCTCTTTCTCTCTCTCTTGACTTCCTGGAAAGGTACAGCATGTTTTTTTTCCTAGTTCTACCAGCTAGCAGGAACATAGCCAGAGCCAGCCAAGAAGAGGGAAGCGAGGAAACCGGTACGATTTACAGGGTCCCTGGCTTGTGAGACTAGAGAGCATCCAAAGTCATTATTTCATGATAATATACATAGTCAGTCATTCAGCTTTCATCTGGAAAAAAACCTTATGTATACCTACACCTACAGGAGCTTTACATCGCTACTGTGTCATGGTTAAAACTCCGTACAGTCCCAGAACTCTCATTCAGCACTGATGATATAAATGAGGTCAGGGTTAGGTGCTTACGTTATATTTAAAACGCCCGCTTTTTCCACACCCCCACAAAAATCACTCTTGCTTTTGCAAAAAACACTTTTATGGGTTCAGACTATTCTGCAAATAGTCTCACTCAACCCTATTCTGCTGCTCGTAAAGTGAGTATTATCTAATTCTGAATATTCCACTGACATCAAACAAGACAAAAGCTGGTCCCTCTGTGAGCACATCTCATTGCTGGACCATATCTGTCAAGATACCGAGTGCTCACGTCTTTCCCTCCCATCACCTTGTTCTGCCTGTTCGTCCCTCTGATTTCCTTTCCAGCCTTTGTCTAGAAATCCTTTCATTTTTCTATTAATCCTCTCCCTCTCTGCTTACTTTCCATGTGAGCCAAAACCCCCAGTGACTAACATGGCAAGCATGCACCTTAAAATTCTTGCTCATTTTTGCTATTTTCTTCCAAAATAGGGACAAGCACTGCGAAATTGTAAAAATTCTATTTAAAATTTCTCCTCAGCTGTTTTCTTATACTGCAAAAAACCCCCAAAATATCAATTATAGAAACTATTAAAAAATAGCAAGAGAGAAAAAAGTTCCCGGCCAAGGAAAATTAAGTCCTCCTCTTTTTGTGCCTGATGGCAGAACAAAGTATACCAGGGTAATCATGAAATGGAAGTAACAGAAAGCAGGAAATCAGAAGATACATGGGGGACAGAACATCAATTCAAGCATGCTGGCACAGATTACAGTGCACCATTACAAGCGATGCTGATCAGAGTTATTAGCATTTTTCAGCATCTTCACCCTGATTGTGTAAAAGCTAAATTATGCCCAGCACTCTCAGACACAATTGTGTGTTATTTCCGTGGGGCAAGAGGGCATACAGTGTCTGGTATAACGACGGATTACCATTCTGGAATATTATAGGGTCCAAAACACAGGCTTACGTGTGAGCTCTGCTCTTAAAGCTGAAGGGTTCTGGATGGTTTTGGTTTCTGTTCCAGATCCAGGGTCGTAATCCAGCTCCCGATAGTAGATCCGGTATCCCAACAGCAAGCCGTTTAGACTCTCAACTTTGGGTGGCTGAAAAACATTCACGTTAAAAACAGGCTTGTTAAGATGCACCTTGCACCAAACATCCGTCACAACGGGCAGTAGCCGACACCAGTCCTGAGCAAGGGGAGCCTGTGCTCTCTGGTGAATAAAATTAATAAATGTAAATTAAATATAAATTAAAAAATATACATGGTCAAAGGTTGTGTAATTTGAAAAACACAAGTTAAAGGCAACTTTGATGATTTCACTCAGCTGTAGCAATTACAAAAGGCTCTTTGCTTAAACACTGACACCTGATGCACTACACTAGGAGCGAAGCTCCTTTCCTTTGTGGTCCACAGAAATTTGTGTGCGATAAAGAATACAAGCAAACATGTCCCTGAAAATGCATGTTGCTGGCCACCACCAGTGGAATAGCAAACCAGTATTTCACTTCTTCGGAGATGAAAAGAAATAAATTATTTTGTTGAAGACATTTCTTTGGTGGCTATTTTCCTTGGGGGCTGTTCATAGAGCATTCTTCATTTGGCATTATTTTACTGAAAGATTGATGGGAAAGTAACAAAGCATTAGTGTATTCAGGCTTTAATTAGGAAGATGAAAATAGGTCTCAAAGCCTCAGAGAGGCATTTAGAGAAGAGTCACAGTATGATGGACTCTGGTGTGTTGCATAGGTCCAGTCCCACAGGCGAACCCAGGTCTCCTCCGTAACAGCTTGGAGCGGCATGGTATGTATGACCATTGGGCTGGCTCAAATAGGAGGTTTTTTTCTTCTGCAACATGCTGGAAGATGCTCAAAGACATAGTGCCTCAGCAAGGATTCTTCAGCAGCCCCTCACATCTTCCTTCAGATACAGATAGTACACTGAAAAGGAGATTTTTGTCTGAATGGCTTGCTTAAATAAAGACAAGCAAAGAGATTCTTTGTGTCTGAGAAAAAAAAATTACTTTCATGAATCAAATAAAGGCTAAGAACCGCAGAGAAGAAAAGATGCCCTGAGCCATTTATCTTCTAAAGATTCTTGTACTGAAATTTAAGGGGCTGAAAGTATAAATGAAAAGGATTTTAATGATGATCTCGCCTTTAATCCAGACAGATCCCTAGCAGTCTTGAGAACTTTACTAAGGAAAACCTTCTGTCCATTGTGGAAAAAATTAACCGCTAGTGTGAAACACTGTCACAATAGAAGGTAACACCACATGTAATTTTAATGAAGAAAGTAAGAATATTTTTACAGGAAAAGAGAAAGATTTTTGGTAATAACCTAATATTCTGCTTCCAGAAATGACAAGAATTTTCCATTACTTCATTATGATGGCAAGAGGAGGGAGAGGGCTGTCCTGTCTCGGTGTAAAGGACTTTGCTTTGGGTGAGGGCTGAAGGAATTAAGTAGAAAGACTTCTTTTTTGGTTTCCATAAACTACAAAGTATGCAAACGAGAGTATAAGCAAGCTACACAGCTACCAGGAAAAGGAGCAGAAACTCCTCCTGCAAGAAACCTGCTTCTTTTGCAGTTGTCCTACCCTGAGTCTGCTGAAAGCAATCCAAAGAGTCCCAAGATCTTGCTGTACTTGCTCTGCATGGTTGGAGAACCTCATTCATCATTATGTTTCATGCTCATTATAGTGCTCCATCCTTTGGAGAAGGTCTGACCGCCTTTCACTGTTGTTTAGCATCTGCATTACAGAATGATCTGGGAATATAGGGTTGTGAGGGACCTCAAGAATCATCAGAACTAGGCCCTTAAGACTGCAGAAAACAGCTTCTTCAAGTCCTTTGCAGAAACAGAGCAAGCTCCACCAGAAAACAAGCTAATTTTTCTGCTTCCCAGTATTCCTATTGGAAAGCTGTTTCAAGCCTCACTACTTGGGCGGTTAGAAACCTTCATTTAATTTCTAATCTAAATAATTCATAGCTAGTTTATAACCATTTGTTCCTGTGCTAACATTGCCTTTTGGGTTAAATTGTTCTTCTCCCTATGGGGTGTTTACTCCCGTGATGTATTTTCAAAAGGGCAATCATATTCCCTCTCAGACTCCATTTTAGAATGCAAATAAATCAACCTCCTGTACAACAACAGCCTTTCCTAGTCTCAGACTGAGCCCCTTGTTCAAGAGACTGAGTAAACAGAACACACAAAGCGACGACCTTCTCCAGGGCTGCCTGATGACATGATCGTTCATGGACCAGCTGGAACGTTCTCCTCCACAAGGTAGAGAAGATGAGGTATGGTTTACTGCCAATTACTAGTATATCCATCATGATTTTTTTTTTCTTTCCTAGTCTTCTGACTTTCCTCTTTTGTTTTCTGTATTCTACTGAAGCTGCCTTAGCTCTGATGGTGTCCCAGCAGAGAAGGGCTCGGCAGCATGGCAGTGTCCTTCCCTCCCTCTGTCCTGGCAGGGAGGAGTCACAACTCAAAGCGCGAGGACTGCCTTCTCCATAGGCAGGGTAAAGGGAGGCACTGTCCCACCAAGATGCATCCTGAGTGCGTGACCACAAAGGAGGAGAGAGGCTGCAAGAAACAAAGACCATCCAGCATGGAAATAAACTTCACAGAGTAAAAAACCACTGTGAACATTACATGGATTTGTATTTCCATTAATTATCATCTAGAAGGAAGGTGCTCTGGGAAAGATTCAATGTCTTTTCCTATTTTAACTATTAATGAATTTAAAAAAAAAAAAAAAAAAGTTGAGGTAGAATATCCTGCAGAATCTGAAAAGGAAAACACTACTGAAGCTGAGAAAGAGGCTGTTACTCCCTGCTCTGCCATATAGCTCCCTAACAGATAAATTCCTCATTGCAGTACAACACTGATTTGTTGATAGTGTTTTCTTTGTTTTCTTATGCTTTCACGTCATTCTCCATTTTTTCCTTCCTTTAAATTTAGGACAGGAAAGCTCAGAAAATAAAGGACTTGAAAACTGTCTTTCTCCTTGCCATGGAAATGATGATTCTTTCCTGAAAAGGGTACGCTGCTAAAAGGTCAGGTCTTCTCCTTCCTATCTGTCCTTCATGGACAAAACTCTACTTTTGATGTACTGGATTATTTAGGATTTTGTAGGAAGGCCTGAGGGATCTGCTGAAATAGGTAGAATGATTATGAGTGGCAGTCCATAATGTTGTACAGAAGTAAGAGAAACATTTTTGTCCTGTTTAAAAATAATTAAAAAAAAAAAAAAAAGATGTAAGTCTGAATATTTGTTATGTCTAAGGTAGAAGCAGAACAGTGCATGATCCTGATGTTAACTGTAATGTCCTCCAGAACATTTGAAATAGCCTTGCATTATTGATACAACAAACCTCAATGGAAATTACTTATTTTCTTCCTACTTTAAATTTAAAAATAATGGGCTGATTGGACCAAGCAGCTGAAAGCAGAGATAGTGCATCTAGAGTTTGTTTTGTGAATTATTAACACAGCTCAAAGTTAAAAATTTAGCTTTGCTTGGAAATCTACTTTCCCATTTAGCTTGACTGCTGTTTTCAGTTTACATTATTTCTGAGACACTGCTGTGAAACTTCCTCTTAATTGGAGGCTATTGTGGGACTTGAAGATTTTTGTTTATTTGAAAAATATAGTACGGCTGAATTACCAGGACCGATTAATATACATGTAGTAATGACATATAATCGCCCACAACTCCCTTGAGATGGCTCTGGCACAACAACCCCATTTCATTTTCATGAAATAAAAAGCATCCAATTACCTAAACAACCACCTATTTCACGTTAACTACACACCAATAATCAGTCAATTGGGAGAACGTTTATTTCCACAGTACATCATGCCTCACATCCTCTTTGTATACTTGTTTTTCTTCACTGTGGGCTTTATTTGTAGGTGAGGTGGTAGATTTACATCTCTCCATTATTCCTTTCGTAAAAGTGTTCGACATGTCTTCTATTTGTTCAACATGCTGTAAGCAATGATGTTGCTTAGTATTATGCTGCGTGAACTTGAGCCAGCAACCCAGCAGTACAGCCAGGCGTATTTTTAAAGTGCTGCTGCATAGTAATAAACAGACCCTCATACATATATTTTTTCCAAAAATGCAAGGAGCCCCATCTGTACTGTAAACGCGTATGTACATTTTTCACTGTAATGCAATCTGTCCAAAGTTATCCTTATTATGTGTGTGGGACACCGTCAAGGGAGCAGGGTGGGCAGAGGCTTTCCAGGGTAGGTTACGGATGACGTGCAGCACCCCACTGGGTTCTCTCTATTAATGCTCACTCTGCAAAAAGAAGCCTCAGGCACCGGGTCACAAAATGTTCCAGCGTCTCCCGGGAGGCCAGTATTGAAAGATAAAGGAAGGCAGAGGAAATGCCTATATAAAACGCAGACTTGGCACGAATACTTTCACATCCAACTCAGAGATATTACAGAGGGCTGAAGCTTGCTTTCTTTTCTCTGAAGAAATCTCAATTTTTAGCCCTCAAGGACCCAAAAGAGCATGTGGAGTTCCTCAAAGGTGTGAGCTGGATCTCAGGCGTACTATGCGCTTCTGATTATTTCAGGCAGCTGAAGAAGGCAGTATGCGATGCGAACGAGAATGAGCTTTTGATTACCGGATCTTTACCAGTGCCGCACTCCGTTGAAAGTTTTCAATGTAAAGATGCTCGTCTTGATATCAATGGAAGCTCAGGAGAATCTGTACAAGTAATGACCCTGAGCATCGCTACAGAAACTCCTTTACCTCCCAAGCTTTCCCTCGTGGGGCACAAAGTAAAAGCAACTGCTGGGAATTTCCATCCATCACTAAAATATATGCCTAGATCAGGAAAATAAGGAAGTGACTGCAGTCCTTCAATTTACCGCAATACCTCCAGCTCAGGAAAACGTCCCTTGCAACGTACCATTAAGGTCAGCAAGTCAAAGCAACAAAAAAAAAAAGTTCCAGAAACATCAAAATTTTTCATTTTACCTACCTGCCACTGCACAAGGACAGATGAAGTCGTGTGGGGAGTTACTAACACAGAACTGGGTGGTTCACCTGGAACTAAACAAGAAAAAAAGGAAACCAAAGCAGTTATAGCAACAGGGTGGAAAACAGGCAGGTTTTGTTAATCAGATTCACTTTCTTCTCTGCTGAAGAAAACCTTCTATCCCAGCTGCTACGTGGTGGGTCTCAAAAGCAATGCGGTGGATAGGAATACTGCAACCCAGGCAGCAGCCAGACACTTCTTGCACATCCCTTGCTCTACCTGTGGCCTTGGCAACTTGGGCAGGAATACGAGAAAAGCTGAGGGCATAAATCTGCAAGAAACTGCAGCATGCCAGCCACAAACTACTGGAACATGTTTGAAACGACAAGTTAAACCAGCTGGGTGTGCGCTTGGAAGAGCCAGCAAACTGCTCCCAAATTTTCCATGATATTTTTGCCACAGCTGGGGCAAGCCCACCTTGGTTTTTGGAGCGTGTCTCACATATTCATAGATTATTTTAGTTAGAATAGCTTGATATACCACAGGTTAACCCGTTCCTGTGCCCATGGCCTATAGCACATACGCACACACGACAGCAGCTCGATACGAAGAAGGGCAGACTTATCGGGAGCTGACAGCCCTCCACAGTGCAACGCTCGAGTGGCAACACCAGGTTTGCTCAGCAGAATAAACGTTCGGTTTGTTGAAGAGGTGGGAAGCTTTCACAGCGCTTCCCCGTTGTACTGGGAGGAGGTCAAGCACAATTCTGGATTCACCGTAGCTAAATTCAAAGAGAACTGAAAACAAAATTTTAAATTTCGAAACACTCATTAGTACCGGTTACAGCCTGCACCAATAGAGCAGCCACTGTCCAGGAAGGTGGGGTGTCAGGGTGCCTTTAAGGGGTGTCAGGGTGCCTTTAAAAGGCTGCCAGGCACATTGGTGGAGTATTACATGGGTTCTGTTTAACTTCGGATACTCCCAAGCTCTGTTCTCGGTTTTTCTGATTTCAAGATCACAATCTTTAAGCATTCCTTTGCAAAATTGTTTCCTATTTTTATATCTCAATGTCATATTTAGCTAGTCATTCCCTGCACTGTATTAAATATTGGCTAATTCCTAGCACCATATACATACACACACACACACACACACGTATGTATCCCAGTATTACCCCATTTCCCAGGCTAAAGGTAAATACTGATGCTTTTTCACACTTTGCAGAGTTCCTTTCTCCATTCAAGACATGAGTGCTACTTCTGCATTCAGACATTGACTTTATACAATCAAGGAATTAGAAGCAGATCTCTAAGGCTAAAAATAAAAGCCTTGTCAATGTCATTCACAGTTTATTAGCCCTGATCTGCAGGATTAAGTGCTCATGTTTCCAGGAGCTTCATACTCTTTCTTACTTATACCTCAGCAATTTTGCCATATTGCAGACCGATGTGGCTTGTGAGGGAAAACAATTGAAGAAACTTCTTCAAATGTATGCATGGTTCTACATTTATTTTTAATGATCTCTTGTAAATTATTCAATTTCTGCAAAGATAATGGTTAGTGCAGAGTTTGGAAGCCAATCAAACGGAGTTTAATTCCATTTTGAGACTCCTGAAAGTATGATTCATTATCAGAGGGCACAGCAGGACACTTAAGGCTGCCTGTTATTAATTCAGCCACATCTCATTACTACCTATATCAATCTCCTATGAACCAAACTGCATTGGCTGTTGAATTTGCACTCCACAGTCCCAGTGGAGAACACATTGCAGCGGGTCCAGCAAACCCAGGAGCACTGGGGAGCTCCCACCCCATGGCGATGCCCCCAGCGTGCCTCTCCTCCTCGCTTACCATCCTGCAGAGTTGTCACTGCCTCAGTCTCCGCACTGAAGTCACTGTCTCCGATATCGTTGGTTGCTTTCACTCGCAGTTTGTAAGAGGTGAAAGGGTTCAAGCTGTGGAATGTAAAAAATAAGGCTGAGGGATGAAATCCCTCTACAGAGAACCTGCCCATTGGCAACCAAAGTCATTGAGCCGTTTGCCTCTTCGCCACATCGCCTTTTCTTTGCCGCCTCCGCCAGCTTCCTCATGACATGGGGGTTTTCACACCCTTGCTGCCACCAGCATCTTCTCAGGTTTCCATCGGCCCCAGTTCCTGCAGGATTCGTAGCTGAATGGGGCTCCAGAAAACAGCATGAAGCTGCAGTTCCTGGAGCAGCCTACGACTGGGCTTTGTTGGAAAGGACAAGATGTGCTGTTACTCGAGGTTTACATGGCTATGCAAAACCTGGCTTTCAGGGTGCTTTGCCTGACATAGCCTCAAAACAGATCTGTGGGTCACCCTCAGTGCACAGATGGGGACGGCAGGTACCGAGGAGGCAGGTAATGTGCCCAGGGTCGGCCAGCGCACAGCAGACACTAGAATTCAGAGCCTCAGCCTTCTAACTAATCCTCCAGACCGTACCGTTTGATCAGTGCATTTTATTCCTACTGAATTTCAAATTAATGCTATTACCTGGATTATTTAATAAAGCCGGTAACAACAGGTTCCCTGCAGCTCTTTTATCTATGCAGTGCTTTGAGATATGCAAAGAGTGATTTCCAGCTGACATAACCTTCGCAAAGATTCTTCTGTCTTGGCTTGGCAGGGAGAAGGTGTGGGGGAGGCTGCCTTTTGAGTCACATGCAGAGGCCAAAAATGCAGAGCTGTAAGTTACGGGGGATTTAGGTAATTAATTGGTAGTGTCTAGCCATCAGCTGGCAGATGTAACACTGACTGCAAACCCAAGTAAAGTTACTTGTAAGGAATGATTAAACGTCAAGGGATAATGCATTCTGATGGGCAGCACTCTCGCATCACGCACGTACTACTCTTTCTGATTTTCACAGGAAAATGCTTTTAGCAAGGGGGAGGAGAAATCTTTTTCAGTAGTTCCACCCTATTAGGACACCGTTACTTACCTACAGCAACTCGAATAATTGGAAACGTCTTTCTTGATCTTTTGTTTTCAGTAATGCCAACGTCAAGTCTAAATGACATAGTTGGTTTCTTTGATTTTGCAGGTTTTGACTAGAAAGATACTGGGGATAATTCAGGGTGGGTATAACACCTCCAAGGTCAATGAATCAGGTCTATGTTTGCACCTATAGTTGTCAAGTTTTCTTTTTTTCTGCACAGTTAGACAAAAGGGTAGCAATATATCTGCATCTTCTGGCACATGACCAGTGAGCTGCCATATACCGTAAGCACTGGTGTTTTTATATATAACAGAACTGAAAAATATGTATCTGAATGCTTTGAATACTTGATTCTCCAAAAGCTCACGGCCTTTTAGAAATAACCTGATTTGTACTAGCTGGTCAGTAGAGGAAATGGACAGCAAAACAAGTACCTTCTCACAGACATTCAATTGCTTTTGCAGATGTTACAAGGACTTTAATTACAACAGCATCACTGAGGATATAATGAAGCCTGAATAACAAAGTTTAAACATTCTGATGCTATCTATAAACTTCGGTATGGAAAATACAGATAAAAATGGTTCTCATTTCATCTGGAAAGGCTTATATAGAGATAATTGCAATGCAGCATTGAGGGTGGATTTTAACATCAGTCGCTACTGAAAGGATTTTTAACTAGTTGTATTTTACAGAACATTGTGTAGCTACATATGGTTTAGCCCGAGTAGCGTTATCTACCATGCTGAGCTTTCAGGAAGGGCTTCAAAAAGATGCATTGCAACCCAACTTTAATTAGATTTATTCCATGACCTTCAGCAAATCTCTCAACTACGGTTCATAACACCACCACTAAAATGGGAGCAGTGACCTCACTTAACCTCTCTCCCCCAAAAAGACCGTGAAGCTGACTGATGTTTGCTTCGGCTTCCTAACTGTTGGAGGTGGAAAGTGTGGGAATTTCTATGCTAGCCCAGGATCATATGGTACCTTTCAATAATGCAGGACGTTGCCTCGTGGCTGATGGAAGAGGAGTAGGTTTGCCAGTCACCATTTGGCAGTTCCCGCACTTGTACTGTAAAATATCGTATAGGTGAAGATCCATCACTTCCAGGGACCCACTTCAACAGCAGACTCCGTGATGACACATCGCTCTGGGGAGTCATCAGCTGTCTGGGAGGTGCTGGCCGTTCTGCAATTAAACCATAATTTGGTCCTGCTTTGAGAGGAAATTCAAGCTAACAAAAAACTTGACCACCTGATCGGGTTTTCATAGTGGTGATGCCACAGGAGATTGAACTTTTGGGTTTGTCCCATGAAGTGTGCAAGTCATCCCATTCCTTAACCTTCTACTGCAAAGAGGAGCTCTAAAACTGGTTCTTATGTCCCTGCATAAAAGGTCACCACTGAATATACACTTTCCTAGCAAGACATCAAACTTGGGGGGGTCTTAGCCTGGCAGGTTAAGGAAGAATCGTTAGGATCAGCAGCCAAGCAAACCAAGGAAGTCTTTAATGAAACCCGCTGTGTTTCCAGCTGCAATTACTCTTTTGACAGAATTTGCCTGTAAACTGGTTCACTTTTTAACCTGTGCTTACTACTTGGTACCACGGGACTACGTTCTCTCTGTGCTACGTCGCATCCTCTTCCACCAGTTGCTCCCCAGCTAGGGCATGAAGAAGAGGAAGGGATGAGCTGGAACAGGCTGGCGTGTAGCAGAGTCCGAGCGCACGACTTACAGCCGACACTGAATTCCTGCACCAGCTCTCTCTGGCAAGGAACCGGGAATCATCAGCAGCTCCTGCTGCTGCTTCCAAACCCCAGCTTGGAACCCAACAGTGCAGAGCTGGGGCTTGAGTACCTGCGGCAGTTCACTTCCAGACCTCCCTCATTCTTCCCTTCACGCCCACTAACCTTGAACCTGCAAAGTCAAAGCAGGCAGTGCCAATGCTGAGGGAGATCTCTCCAGAGTAATTAACCGTTCACCTTTTAGAGGTGGCAGGGAATGGTAATGCAGGTGTAAGCGTGCCAGTCCCCAACTCTTTCAGTATAGATCTCCTTTCCCATCACCGTGTCTCTGCACTCCATCGATTTCAATAGAGAAACTCTATAGAGTGAGGAATAATTGTTTAATTGTTTATCATGAAGATTATTGATTCTGATTAAAATGTGTGGCATGTAATAAAGCAGGAATTGATTGGAGACACCGCAGTGACTTGCTTTCCAGAAGCAATTCAATTCCACTTCATCAGCACTTGCTTCCATAAACACACCTCCGCCGGCCCGCGTCCTCGCAGCTCGGTATGGGCGAGCACTTCCCTGCCCTGCCATCCCCTAAAACCATTTCCTACACGTTTTGGCATTTCTCTGCAGCATGCTCTTGCTGACATCAGTGCCCAAAGATTTGCAAGCTGTTAGCTGCAGGAAGCCCTCGGTGCCAGCAGCCCGAGCCAGAGTACGGCAAAAGGTCAATGCCTTACACTGACAGGCTGAGACAGGTATTCAGGGTTATTCTATCAGAGGGAGCGAGTGTCGTGCAGGGATTTAATACTCTCTGCTGATAAGCTTTAACCAGCTTGCTGTTTTGGGCAGGTCAGATCTTGCAGTCAGTCTCCCATGATTGGGTTTCCTTCTGCTGCTAATGGGAGATCTTAAAATCTCCTGTGTTGCAAGATATACTTCCTGACTGTTTGTACAAAACCGTTAGTATAAAGAGTTTATTTATGGGAGTTTAGCCACCAGCAAATGCTAAGGTGAGCTGTTTGTGCAGCAATGGAAGGCCAGGCCATATGACTCAATGGCCTCCTTTTAATTTCTCGCTACATTTACATCTTCTGACTCAGTTCTGCCCTGATCACTGATGTTAAGTATTCTGAAGGATATCATACCAGTATGTGCCTTCAAAGCACTACAGAAGAACCTCTGGCTAATACAGCTACAATACAACTCGGGATCTGTAAATCACAGGTATCACTGTAAAATGTAAAGATTTATATTGGGATTATCTAAGGAATTTAAAAGGACAAGAGTGACCAATTTAGCTAATTTTCAAGGGAATCTTTCTGCCTGCCTACCTTACTATCAAGGACTACAAGTATATTAAATGCATTTTTGTTAATGGAAATTAAATGTCTCTTCACTCTAGGATATTTATTGTCCTGTATACAAGTTGCAGGCTTATTTGTTTGTTTATTTACTTGTTAGCAGAACAGCTGCACTGGATAAATGTCTTTGTCATCTCCTCATATCAATCTTGCTGATGTGAGATTACACATTTTTCTCTTTGCACGTTACACATAGGAACACTTCAGTTAACTCTCAGTGCCTTGGGACTCGGTTCCATGGCATGCACAGAGACACAGAAGAACCATCCATCAAAAAGAGAAAGGGTTCAGTTTATACCATGACTTGCCGATTCAAGATAACCCTAAAGCATTGCTAGCAATGAGGGATCAGTGCTCCCGCAGCGGAGCTGGGAGTTCTGCCTTGACCTGTTGTGTACCCAGCAAGAGCTGCTGCACGGTCTGGGAAATGTGAGCACATTTAATTGAAAAGGAGAGGCTCCAGGCTTCGAGGATTCACTTTATTGGGCACGGTGGGTTTTTTCTGAAACTTCCACATGTTGGAATTCAAACTTCCACTTTGACAGCAATCAGATAGGGGTGGAAGAAACCTTGAGCTGATAAATCTCTTTGATGGACAGTATCTTTAGGACAGGTACTTTAAGTTTCCTAATGCAGCTCTAGAGGTTCTTTCTCTGAGGACTGCACTGTTACGCGCTGGGAAGGCGGCACGTGACCTGGAGAGCTCTGCCAGTGGGAATTTTAACACCAACCAGACAGGCCAAAGGCAGTTGAAATGCACGCCACTGGTCCTCGCTGCTGGTGGTTGACCAGCAGGCCAGTGTCCTCTCTTCTTAGAAGTATTATAGGAAAATAATAGGGAAAACACTGTGGGGCGAAAGAGCGTAGGAAAAGCTTGCTCCTACGCTAAATGATTTGCAAGGTGTAGAAAGGACTTAAAATGAGAGATTGCTTAGTAGGCACATTTTAAGAACTAAAATTAAATATTATTAGTTGTATTATAGCACAAGACTCGGGCAAGAGCCAAGACCAGGCACACAAGCACATGCAAAAGTGCTAACAATACTGAAAGACGTCTATGGAGGTCTGCCCTGGTTACCTGAAGTGTGCTTCTCTCTGAACTGTGATTTTTATAAATCACAGAAGTTGCATGGTTTTCATTTTTGAGAGAGTAGTTTTCTTAAAGATCAATATGCAGACAGCACAATGGGTCAGAGCAGCACGTGGCAGAAAATCCAGTGATGCACAAGGGAATGATGCTGATAAAGTTACCCTGGCTAGTTTTGACTTTGCCAGCTCAAGAGACCACGTATGTGCTTTGCAGGGGAACATGGCATATGGTACAAGACCGGAGGAAAGCCCACACTCCTGTTTTCTACTGATATATTCTCTTTTCGCTCTGAATTAAAAAAAAAAATAAAAAATCTTCACGCACAAGTAGAAAATATAAATTTTCTAGATGGCAGTTCTAGAGATCTGTGCTAAGACTGCAGAATCAAGCAGTTACTTGAGCCAAAGAATTAGAAACAAGCATTGATGCAGAGTAGATTCTGTAAAACCTTATATGTCTCTCACATTTTGACACGCTTGGTGTCTAAGCACCTGGTTTCATTTATACACATGTAACTCTTGCTTTCTTCAAGTAGGTTCCCTACAGAACAGAATTTGATTGGGGATTCAGACTGTGAATACCCATTTTATGCCTGATGCAAGATTTCTGGGCAATCCAGACGCAAACGCTCCGCTCAAGTGTGCGGCAGTGAAAGGCCAGAGTAATTACTAACACGTTAGGTCAGGACTGAGGTACAATGGAGGAGCTGTGGAGAAATCCTGCAACATCACCGCCTCTCATTTTGCGTTCCCTAATCAATATAATTCATCCATCACTTACTTTCCTAAGATTGCAAACTTTCTAGAAAACGAGAAAGCTGAAAAAAAATCTGACTGCAGAAGGAGGCCGCATATGGCCAATACAGCAGCTGATGGAAAAATCAATCTCCAGCAGCCTGGCAGGTTAGAAGAACTGTGTCTCATAAAAGTCAGTCTTGCTCACCAGGTTTCTCAAATCACGATGTTGCTATGGTTTGGGGCAGGTTTATGGGGTGAGGAGGAGGAGGTGTACAGGCTGTAGCCTGTTATTAAAATTCCCCTAAGTGCAGCACAGGCTCCAAGGCACGCACCAGAAAGTACCACAACCTGTGGCTGCAAGCATTACCTCTTTTTTCTGTTGTGATCACTGTGGCTTCCAGAGGCTCTCCCCAGCCCTGCCTGGTCTTGGCAGACGTCCGAAAGATGTATGCTGACTCAGGGGTGAGGTCTGTAGCAGTGAACTGCCTGACTGTTGAGCCAACCTCCACCGTCGTGAACTTGTTAGGGCTGCTGCTGGCCAGACGGTAGGCAATCTGATACCCTGAAACCACAGCATCAGCAAGAGAGAGAAAAAGCGTTCGGATTTTTTTCTAGCAGGGACAAAAAGAGCACCAAAAATATTAATTTATCATAATTACTTGCTTATTTGAGACCAGAACAAAGTAATTTATTTCCTTTAGTGCTATGAAACTCCGTAACATGGCAGTCCTCACCCAGCCCGGCGTCGTACCTTACGAGGGAAATCACACACTCTGGCAAACACAAGGGCCTACTGAATGTTATCTGCCATGAAACCGATTTCACTTTCCGTCCTTTATACCAACAAGATACAAACCCAGTTTAATCTTTCCTGAGCATACTGGTACCTTTTTGGAAAGGCGAAGGAACAAACAGAGCCCGTGAAATCAAGCTTACACGGTTGAGCCAGTTCAAGACAACAGTCTCTGTTTCAGCTGCGCACACACGTGCACATGTACGCACACACGTGCACATGTACGCACACACGCTCACACGCTCTTCTGCCCTCTCACCGTTTCAGCATTGGCTCAGACCGAAGGTTCTTCAGCGGCAGAACACCTGGATTGCCCAAACCGCGCAGCCTCACAGTGCCCACGTAAAGGCTTGCTCCTGCTTTTTGCACTCGCCTTTTTCTCAGCTCTCCCGCTCCCCGGTAACTGCACAGCAAGTGCCAGAACTGCCCACAAAAGCATCCTCCTTCCCTCACTCAACACTGCTGCCCTTGCCCACAGCCCGAGGAAGAAGCCTGCAAGCTGTGAGGTCTTGCTTCAACCGCGTGGCACTTAATAATCAATTTTGTTGACGGCTGTAAAGTGATAAACCCCATTCCAACCTGCCTGACAATTAGGAGTTCACAGTTTAGCCTGTGTTATTAATGATCCAACCGTGCAAAGGAGGGCTTCCAGAGCTCTCACGCACCACTAGCAACAACTGTCCCCCAAAGAGGATCTGCCAAATGTTCAAATCCTTTCTGTAAACCCAGCAATTGAATCAGGCTCTCACTTCTGGAGCTCGATGGTAACTTTCCGTCCAGCTGCTGACTTCCAAAATCAATTAATACCAGAATTGTTGTGGGGCTTTATTGCCCAAACTGAATACTGTTGTATGATTAAATGCTTCACGGAGTTACACAGGGCAGAGGACAGCCAACAAATCCAAATCAAACCAGCTGAAAACAAAACAGTCATGACACGATTCTGCCAACCCTCTGCTCATCTTCTGAACGACAAAGGGGTCTGCAGCACCTGAGACCATCTCTTTCTCCTGGAATTAATATCCCAGCTAGAGTCTGAACTCCCACCACATTTTGGCTGTGACAAGAACAAGGGGAGCCAGACCTGGCCTGCTTCATTTGTAGAAGGTCAGTGCATGAAAATGGAGGGTTTTATCTTAACCTGTGGCTATTAGACAAAATCAATGACATTTATTTCCCACTGTGAATATGCAACAATTGCCACAAGTCCACTCACAGAAAAGGCACAGAGTTCCCGCGCTCTCTTGAACGAATGCCATACTTGCATGTGGCACATGCTGTCACGAACGGTGGAATTTATTTGCGATACAGATGGTATTAATTTTGGTGTGCTGATTCTCAGAGTGCTGTTGACGACACACCAGCATTTCCTCGCCCTTTTTCCTTGGGCAGCTGCGAGGGGACGTGGGGCCACAGCCATAGCTGCCTCGCATGGAGCAGGTTGGATTGCGCAGACTCCTCCAAGAGTGACTTGGCTTTTCCGAGCATGTGCGACTTCAGCCCGAGCTCCCACCGGCTGCGGTTCCAGACAGGTTTGGGGATAGAGCAGATTCACTGAAGTGCCTTAACTCACTCTGGGCACCCAGGTTTGAAAATGGGGTCAGCAGCGAAAGGGTCCCAGCGCCCGAGTGGGCTCACCTCCTGCTGCCTGGGGTACCCCCCACACAGGCGTATTCCTACAGCAACTTTTTCACAGCTGGGTGGCCAGCATTAGACTGCTAGATTAAAACTGGCCCGATTTTTCAGAGCTCTTGAGCATGCTTAGACCGCAAAGTCTTAGAATCTTACAGCTTGGACATTTCATTTTTCCACCTGCAAACTGCCTTGTTTTACCCACAGCACCAGCTCTCCTGTTACTGGTCCAGTGTGTTTCACCAAAGTATTTCTGTACCTTCGGTACTATAGTATTTTGATCTTTTTTTTAAGTCCACAGAAAGAGAGATAGCAACGGGGAGAAGGAATGGATACACTACAGTCTTTTTTTGTTTATACAGATGTGAGGAACATGGGAGTGAAAATGCCAGTGCAGGGTCTCAATAAGGGGGAAAAATAGTCAGAGAAAAGCACTGGGGAAATTTTTACAGCAGCTAAGAGATGGAGGAAGAAGCAACTAAGATTGCTAAAGAAGTTTGATAAAGGGACATCAGACGTAAAGAATAAGACCTGGAGGGAAACAGAGAATATTAAAAGAATAGAAAAGTTGATTTATCTAGTTATTAAAAGATAAGTATGATATCTGAGACACATCCTTGCTGAGCAATTTCCTCTCTTTTCTAAACCTTTGTAAAATACAATGTGTAGTTAAAATGTAAGGAGGGAATAGAAAGATAACTATTTACTGCTAAATGGTGGTACTCATGCTGGAAAGCCAATTACAAACACGCTCAGATTAGGCAAAGGAACACATACATATCTAGGCCGTTATAATAACTTACACAGGAGTGGTTCCTTGCCTAGTGTAAAAACTAATTTAGCCATGAGAAAGAAGAAATCGCTTGTCACAGCCTGTCTGTCTGACAGGCTCCACAAACTCCCTTTCAATGCATCCCTCTGAAAAACGGTACCAGCCCGCACTGTCCTCGCCTACATCTGCCGTGTTGGCTGACAGTCTGGGTAAATGTCTATTTTCCGGGATATCTCAGGCAGAGTTTACACAACCAAAGCTCTCACCTTTACAGATTTCGTTAGAAACTCAACACTTCCCTCGGTCTGATTCAAGGGTACATATCCAACCGCTGCACCTGAACTCAGCTCACTCTTCTTGCTACAAACCACCTGAGAGACACCCAGTATCTTAATTTTGATCTCCTACATCACCTTCTCCTATTAGACAGTTTGGGACAGCCAGGATACATACTGGCATAAAAAACGTCGCTTTTCTTTTTTCTGAGTGACACAGAAGGCGCAGTACTTAAACTACAGCTCGGATAATAATCAGGGCTAACGCAAGATCAAAAAGATAAAATTATTAAGTTGATGAATTCCAGCAACAAGGGATGGGAGAAGACAGGAAATGTTAAGTGAAATCAAACGAGGCAAATCAATAGAGGTAAATGGAAAGTGTTCAAAGAGAAATTAATGTATGCTCGAGGGCTATAAGAGGCAATAACTGCAATTGCTGCAGTGGAGGAATAAGGAAGCTTCCTTCCCTTATTAGATTACGACAATAAGATGTTGCGGGTATCTTGGATTAAAAAAAAAAAAAATCAAAGCTTATGAATGGAAGTAAAATCTTCACAAGGTGATCAGAGCAAACTTTTCTGGGAAAGGAATATCTTACAGAATATGAAGTATCCGGGTGGTCAATAAGAAGAATTCATATTGTTTTCTTAATTTTTCTCTCCCTCCCTGCCCCCCACCCCCCAGCATTAGATCCCAAATCTTTTCTGCTCCTGGGAGTTCTGAGCTTCACCAGGCCAAAACAGCATTAAAAAAAAAGCCCTGAAAGATCAACTGTTCAGGAGTTTATTTATTCATTGAAACTAGGCTTATTTTTGCATTAGCATCTTTTTAAGTAATTTTTGCTCAACTGCAAGCAGTTTCACGAGCTACGCTTTCTGAACTCAATAAACAGCAACAGTCTGAACCGCCTGTTAAATGTTAGGTCATTGTAACACAACCAGTGGATTCCCCAAAGCAAACAGGCAGGAAGATGACAACACACCATGAATATAAAAAAGCTTTCAAGCTCATCACCATACAAAGCCCTTCAGAACTGACAGCACCCGTTCACGCAGGCCACGGTGCAGCAGAGATACAAACATTTATTAATTTGTCACAGAACTTAGGGAACGCCAAACGATCCTGGGAGGTTAGGGTCTGCCTGCTGGAGCAGCAATCCAGTTTGTTGATTTTACTGCTTATCTGTTTAAGGGCCAGCGGGTGTGCAAATGCAGTCTGGGATCAAAATATGAATTTGCAAACATGGATTACATCCTATTGTGGTTCCAATTCTCAGTGGAGCTGTTGCACTCTTTTGCAATAAGCTTCAGGTAAACGCTAAAGACAAGGATACCGTGAGGAATACTAACCAGGGCCTGGAAGGGTGCTGGTGGAGCTCTCATTTTCAGAGGAAGCTCATAGCTAGAAGTGCACATATCCACGTTAATGCATCATTTTTCTTTAACAGTATTTGAAGGCACTATGTTGGGTGCTAGCTGAACTCAGTGCAGAAAAGAAGACAGTGTGAAGCCTCAGATGGTTAGCGTAACAACCCCAAAAGGAGAAATGGAAATATCTAGCAGTCTTCCACAGTAAAATATTTAAACAAACAAACAAGTGGTTTTCCCTTTTGGTGCCTGCCAGTATTTCATCCTTCTAATCTCTCTCTGAAATGCTAGAACATGTTTTGATATAGATTACAAAAATATTAGCTGCAAAGGTGCCTGTATACTCAGAGGACAAAGCTAGCAGAGCAGGAACATTGGTTCAAAGGCTCTGAATAGAAGTTGCTCTTGCAAAGCAAGTACTACTTCTTTCCAACCCCACTAGTGAACAGAAGGACACCATGCAAAATTACGTTACCTTATTTTTTCCAACAATTCTACTTCAGTGCACTTGACTCTGGTGGTTACAATGGTGTTTTGAAAGTTCATTACAGTAACGAGATTTAAAAGGTGGACAGGAAAAAAACACCTGCAGCCTTTACTTAGAATGTTACACATTGTTTTTTATCTATTTTTGAAGCACTCCTCACTTCTTAGGAAAGATCACAGAAGTACCCAGCATGAGTAATTTTTACTTTTTCTCTCTGACATTGGCAGCTAACTACTTCCTCCATGAACCTCAGTGTTTCTACTGTCAAAAAAAATAAAGGAGTGAGAACTGTTGAATAAAGACAATGGACATCAAAGAGGTGGACTGGGGGAACTGGCAGGTAACGTCCCCCTGGGAAGGAATTCTAAGGGAAAAAAGAATTCAGGTTAGCTGACAGTTTTAAAAGAGACCAAAAAAAAAGTACAACTATCCCAACGCAGATAAAAGATGTTAAGAGGCCAATATGTTTGCATTCAGAGCTCACTAATGACCTGAAAATCAAAACTGAATTGGACAAAAGTTGAAACAGGACACATGTCTAAGGGAGTGTATAAATAGACAGCACAAGCATGTGGGGACAAAATCAGAACGGCTGAAGTGCAAAGTGAGTTAGAGCTTAATGGGCATCAAAGGCAATGAGAAAGATTTTATAAATACATTAGAAATTCAAGAGACTGAAGGAGGACAGGTCAACTACTGGGAAGAAAATATGAGCACAAGAGAGGTGAGAGAAAAGAACAGAAGGCTGATACCTCCATCGCTTCATTTTCACACACACAGAAAAGTTGATGCCGACTAGATACTTAACACAAATTAAAACCGACAACAATTTAAGTAGGGATGCAGGCTAGAATAGAGAACAGGTTAACAAATATTTAGTTAAGCTAGATGTAATCAAGTCAGAAAGTCATGATGAAATGTGCCCTGCAGTGCTTATAGAACTAGCTGGAGCCATCTCTGAATAATTAGTGATTATCTTCAAGAACTTGTGGAGGACAGGTGACATCCCAGACTATTACAGAGGGGCAAACAGAATACCCCACCTTTTAAAATGCAGAAAGAAAAAACACAGGAATTATGCACAAATCAAGTTAAAGTTCAATATCCAGAAAGATCCTGGAAAAAAATATGAGTCAATATATAAGCATCCATGAGGATAATAAAGTGCCAAGGAACAGCCAATATGTATTTGTCCGGAGCAAATAATAAATATCAAATAATCTATTTTCCATTTTGACAGTGTAATTGGCCAGGTGGGAAGAGTAGATATCATCCACAGTGACTTTAAGTAAGGCTTTAATATGGTTGCACACAGCCCTGTCAAAAGCAAACAAGAGAAGCAGAATCTAATAAAAACACTACACATTTTGACTTGAACACTTTTTTAAAAAAAAAGTCCAAGTGCCATCAGTAGTTTGCCAACAAACTGGGAGAACATATTAAGTCAGGTCTCATGAGAGTGTCTGGTTCTGTTCACGATTTTCGTTAGTGACCTGGTTGATGGAATCGCCAGTCTGCTTGCAAACTTCAAAAATAAAACCAAATTGTGAGTGGCTGTGAGCACTTCAGAGGACAAGAGTATAATTTAAAATCATCTTGATAATGAGGAGCGGTGGTTTGGAATCAGTAAGATGAAATTCAATAAAGGCACCCGCAAATTATCACACTTACAAAGAAAAAGCTTAATGTACACATAAAAGAGGGACTGACTGAATTGTACTGCAGAAAAAGGGTAGGAATTAATAGTGCATCATAGACGTACTTAGTTACAACATCGGTGTTGCGAAAAGGCCAAGTCAGGGCAGTATCAAGTATCCTGGGATGTGTTACTGGGAATGGACTGTGCAAGACGTCGGAAACAACAGTCTACATGCTAAGCATGCCGAGCATTCTGTAAGGGACACCCTTCCCCTTTCCTTCCAACCCTGCACTCGTATGATTTTCTCATCAACGTAGAGGCAATGAGTAAGAACCAACTGAGAAGGGGATGCATTGCACAAAGCGCTGTGCAAAGACAAAATAAAAGAGAGTTCCTACTCCACCGAGCTTGCAACTTCAGCAAATCAGGCTGACAAAGTGCAGCAACGTGAGACATTGGAACACAGTCGGGAGAGCAAAATCTCTTTTGTACTTTCTCATCTTTTCTATCAAATGATTTTTCTTCTCCTTAACCATAGCCTGTGATTCAAAACCCAACCTCTACTGAGAGCAAGCTTCTAGGACAGGCAGTTCCTTAAAAAAAAGCAACAAATCAAACCCACAAGACAACCTGGAAGCCAAGCTTCCCTGAGCTGCAGAGAAACCCTGCGTGGATTCGTCTCTGACAGCTAACGACTGCCAAGCTTCACACAGACTCTTTCTCGTGCTCAGAAAATCCCTGCAGTGTTTGCCTTCGGAACCCATTTGATTATTTCCCTCCATCTTCAGGATCACCCCCTGAGCACTTCGGGAAACTACACACCTGAGCAAACACTTTGAGTTCTTGACTCAAGATTTACGTGCATTGCAAGACCAGTCCCTCACTTAAAGGGATGCCACCAGTGTAGTAACATCTGAAGTAGGCAACACTCCACTCAACAACGAAGGCTTTAGGAAATATTGCTAAAAGACTACACGCAAGCCTGAATGATGGCAGCAAAATTAGAAGCAGAAAGGTCTGGCAGACTGAGAACTAAACAAAACCCAAAAGCTTTTGCTTCCTTTCAGAATTGAGAGACAAATCTTTACTCACCAGCTAGAATTACTGTAAAATGTGTTTAACATCAGCAGAGAGCACAAAAGTGCTGGGTAACTATTAGCTACTTCAATTTTAGAGGCAAGAATGGATTCTTACGTTGAAAAAGTCTTCACGTTTTAAGTACAAGTAGAGGCTGGTGTACATATTGCAAAGGTAACCCAAGAGTTACGAGAGCAGGAAGGTAAGAAGGTTTTTCATGAATTCCTGTCGTGCCTTGTTGCCTCTATTTCCCTGGATGAAAAGCCAGATATGAGTTAACTCCTTGCGACCTGCCAGACAGTATTATCCAAAGGAAGCAATGAAATGGAAGCACACGTGAAGCTGAAACGTTGGGCACGCCCAGCAAAGGCGAGTTGGGGAGGAAGGAGAGGAAAATCCAGCTCTCCCCTGCTGCTCTACGGGCACGTTGCCCAACAGCCAGGCAGACAGGTTACAAACCCAAATGCAGATGGGAAGAGAGATGACAATTCAAACACAATGCCACGAATGACATGTAATTCTGGCTCAGGAAAACACACACCATGGAGCTGGTCAGACTTTTCCTCCTCAGCACAGGGTACCACGTCTCTCAGCTGACACCGACGTATTTTCTGTTCTTTAGCCGCAGATTTGCTTTTGTGTGGTTTCTAACCCGACATGCAAGGGGAAGGAAAACGCAGCAGCCGGAGCTCACTCTGGTCTCCCGTCCTCTCCTCCCAGCCCTGGGTTTGCTGCTCCCTCTTACCCAGAATAATTCCGTTGGGCTCCTCCGGCGGCTGCCAAACAATCCGTACGGATGTCAGCCTCACCTCAGGGAACACCAGCCTCACGGGCGGCCCAGGGGCTGGAAAGAAAACCACACCATGCTAGCAAGCATTGCGTCTCAGAGGAATTACAAGTTCTCCGCTCACCTGACATAGGAGGCAGCTCAAGCTGTATCTGCCTGGTAATAAATAGATGGTTGGCAGCGCCTATATACATATATAACATACGTGCATGCTGAGGGATCCTGTTCATGGCCAAATGCCTCCAGCACCCGTGGACACCAAACGCAGCACAGAACCAGTGCACCCTACAGTGTTTTCCCGGACCTGTGGAATGCTTTTAGCGGGATGCTGTGACAGAGGAGCGCTGACCTCTGCAAGAGTTACCCCTGCACTCTGCAGGAAGTGTTTTGTTAAGCCAGAAGTCTGAATGTGTTTTCAGCCCAATCAAACTGCTTAATGAAGTTGCTTGTAGAAACCAACGTTTATTCCATTACTATTGAAAAGATTTTGATTAAAAAAAGAGAGACTTTTTTTTAGTTCATCTTCATTGGGAATAATAAACAGAAGCCTCTGACACTGGTATTAACCTCCTGTGAATACTGCAAAGGTAATGTAACTAAAAGTAACTTTAGCATCTGTAAAGCCAAAATGACTTTGAGTGTTGAACTAAATTTCTGTAAAACCCTGCCAG